GCTACAGGACTCCAGAATTACTGCGCTGTGCTGAAGCTCAACTACTCTAAGGTCCACAAATCTTTGAAAATAGTCAATGCACAAAAACTCGATGTATTGTGCTATAACGTATGAAAAAGCAGTATATATTTTAGTATAAATAAATATACCTGGGTGCAAGAAGGAACTTAAAGGAGCAATGCATTTTTATGGCTTAAATGTAATCTACACTATTAGAAGCTAAGCATGGTTGACATCATTACTTTAAATCAGTGGTGGTCAATCTCTTTGGTTGGCCAACAAAATATATATTTCTTGATTGAATATTTCTTGATTTTTGGCATAAATCTATGATAGTTTGTTATTTCTATGTGTCCAACCTTATATCATATCCATTGCCAATTCTTGCAATGTGCTTTATAAATATAAATCAACCTTCAACGTTCCTTGTTCATTAAAGGCTGCAATATTCTGCAGGAAGAGGAAATCAATGTGAATGACACATGCTCCTGGTTTTATAATTGTTAGTGGTATAATTCCAGTTCCTGTCAGCTGGAATTAATGTATATTCATGAATAAACCACAGAGTATACATTGACTTCAAGCTTGATTTGTAATGATCCAAAAATGTTATGTTAATTTAGTCTTTTGGGTATATGGATCAAAGCGTATCATGACCTTCACAATTAAATCTTACAAAAAAAGTTTCACAATAAATTAACTGCATTACTCTTTTCTGGCACTATGATTTGTGCAGAGCATCTACAAGAAACCACTCCTATGTTTTCACTGAAACAAACAATAAAAGCATACAATTTATTTGAAGGAAATTTTGTGTTCTGAATGCTATAATAATGATAGAAAGGACATTGTCTTGCAGCATGTCTTGCATTGTGTGGCAGTCTCCCCTTTTCGCTGGGTTTTTACTTTATGCTCATTAGAGACAGCCTGAGGGTGTTTCATGTACCTTCTGCAGCACCATACATTTATACACCAATGATATTGTGGCTAGGGAGTATTGTTCCCAATCCTCAGGCTGGATGGAATACTGTAGAGTCATGATCAAGGATATATAGAAAGCACATATTGTGGCATGTTATACAAGAAGTAATGCTATCTAGCTGGTTCATGATGATTGACCGGAGACTGCATTGATCATTAGATGGATACCCAGCGGGGTAAAGTGCTCAGCGAAGAATGACTTGGATCATTCCAATGATTAGAGCAGGAGAAGATTCCCACTCCACTGTCCGAGATACAAATGGAAACATCAACTCTTAATGAAAGAATCAAGGTTACTGGAGAGAACAGCAATCTAAAGTAACCCCCCCGAAAGGAGATCAGATTGAGTGCTGTGTCAAAAAGCTACTGATTGAAGAGACAGATTAATCCACTTGGGCAGCACACGGGCAACTGATGGGAGGTCCAAACCTGATAAGATCTTACACTGTCAAAATATAAGTACAGTATTTTTTTAAAAATCCTGCAGAGCAGTAACTTCTCTGTTGATCACACCTCCTTCCCTCCCTCCTGTATTTTCTTACATTTTGAATTGTTCCTCTTGTTTATGTTCTTATGCATTCACAACTCCAAAAATAGTATAGAAATAATGAATTATTTCCACACTTTTCTGTATCTGTTCTTATGTTTGTGATCACGGCTTTTTTTTTAAATTCTAAGGTTATACACCAATGTTACTAACTTACTGTTTAACTTCCAATTGATTGTGTCAAGCTCTGTGCTCCATCCTACTTCGCCACTGTCAAGCGCTCTGGAATGCTACCCTGCGTGAGGGGTGCTATATAAATGCAAATTGTTGTTATTGTTGTTGTCATCCCAATCCCATTTCCACATTGCTGTTTTGATTTCATTGTGTCCTTGTTTCCTCCTTTTGTTTTTCTTCCTTCTCTCCTACTGTCTCCTGCCAATGCTTTATCCCTTTATTTCTCTCTGCTCTTTTCTTTTTCTGCCAGGTTTTTCTTTGATTCTCTCCTCTTACTTCAACCTTTTTACCTTTGCATTGTCACTCCCCAGATTCCCCAATTTGTGATACAGAAATTATATTTGGTGGAAGACAAATTCAACACTCTTTCCTTCAGTCATTGCTAGTGACTAATGAGTCTCCTCTGTCACTCACTGCCTCTCACTCTCCTCTTGTCATTCACTGCCTCTCACTCTCCTTTGTCACTCACTGCTTCCATCACACACGGACTAGCCCTCCAGCATTGTTTTTGTACAGGAACACTGGGAAGACGAATCTCGTTGACATTTTTGAGGAATTGGCATCCCACTTTCACAGTAGGAAACACCCAAAAGGTGTTTGACAAAATACTATGTGGAGCTAGTCAAATTGCATAACTAAATATTTTTTTTACATCTCTAAATAAAATAGTAGGTGAGAACATATTGGTGCTTCCCATCTTCCCCACCCACACTGGCCGCTCCCATCCCTCCTCCAAACCTTTGAACCTGTCTCCCACTCCTCAGAGAAGAAATTGCATATAGGAAATAAACATATGTACTCCATAGATAGTAATTGGCAGGAGGGAAGTTGAAAGAAACAGAGGTGTGTGAGTTGACTTATTGCTCCCTATGGGAGAACTTTGTGAAGCAGCAATGAGCAAAGCAAACAGGATGCTGTATTAAATATTGCCAAACTCATGATTAAGCTATATCATGCTCTGGTCAGTACTGCATGTAGTTCTGGCTGTTGTGGCATAGAAAGACTGATCAGATCCTATGAGTAGTGTAGAGGAAATTACCAATTTCAGTAGGGTAAGCTATTTTGTTTGATGTCTGACCTGTGTCTGACCTGTGCAGAAATCCACTACCATGCTTAGTCTTGTAATTTGTAATGGAAATCTCTAATAGTTGTTCACTGCATCCCCAGTTTAGGAGTAGAAAGGAATTAAATCTTTAAAATTCTAAAAGGCTCTGAGAGGATAAATTGTGAAAGATGATTTTCACTAGTTGCTTCAACAGTATCATAAACTCATAATATCAGGCACAGCAAAAATGGGAAGGCTAGAAAACATTTTTAGCCTGGCTCAGTTGGTGATACACTCACCTCCGAGTCAGACGTTTGTGGGTTTAACAGCAACAAACAACAGCAAAATAATTACATTTGTATAGCGACTTTCAAGTCGGGAGGATGTCCCAAGGAGCTATTGTCAGGATTTCAAGATCATAATCCAGGCTGAAAGTCCAGTGCAATGCTGAGCTCAACTTCCCCAGCCTTTCCCTCAAAATCACCGAACCAGTGCACAACCTAAGGGTGAAGTTTAACCCACAGCTGTTCTTCCTTCCCCACATCTGGTCCCTGACCAGGACCGCCTTTCTCCACCTCCACCATATTACTCGCCTCCAACCATACCTTATCCCAGACGCAGCTGAAACACTGGTCCATGAGTTAGTGACCTCCCAACTCTACTTTTTAAATGCCCTCTTCACCGATCTCCCCAGCTCCACCATCCACAAGATTCTGCTGATCCCAACTTCCGTCGTCCACATACTCACCCATACAAAATTCCGCACCCCCATCACATCGATTCTAGCCAGGCTCCACTGGCTCCCTATCACAGAATGGATAAATTTCAAAATCCTCACACTTGTTTTCAAATCCCTTCATGCCCTGGCACCTCCCTACATCTCTGACCTGCTTACTCCTCAACCCACTAATCGCTGTCTTCGCTCAACTGGCTCTGGCCTCCTGCATGTCCCTCATGCCATCCGTTCCACCATCAGTGGCCGCATTTGCAGCCACTATGCCCCGAAACTATGAAACACTCCTCCTCTATCTCTTTGCCTTGACCCTTCCTTCCCCGTCTTCAGATCGCGCATGAAGACCTTTCTTTTTGAATGTGCCTATAGCATTGTGCTCCACTACTGTCAAGCGCTTTGGGACGCTACCCTGCATGAGCAGCGCTTTATAAATGCAAGCTGTTGTTGTTATTTAATACCCTGACTCAAATATATAATGAGTGACAAGGCAGCAGAATATGCCAATTAAACACTAGGGAGGAGCTGGTGAACCATTGCTGGTAATACTCCGCAAATTGTAAAAATATTCCCTTTCCAAGGAAGGTGATTCAGACTATTGTTGTAATTACACGGCCACAAGCTTCCTCTCACACACAATTGAAGTCTTATAATAGAACAGTCCCTTAGCCGAGCACAGTTCAATTGAACTCTATTCAGAAATGGAACTAGGACAAAAGTATGGCTGTTCTTCACTCTCAATATATATATTTTTTAATTTTCAATGCTGATATTTAATAATTGAATGTTTTACTGATCCTTAACAATAGAATGCAGGTTGCAGTATTCACACACCAATGTAGTAATATAGCTGAAATCTATTTTGCCTGTGGAAGCAGAAAGTGATTCAATGATGTATTTATACAGGATGTTCAGGAGCGAATTGCAGCAATCTTGGAAATGGATTACCACCTAACGCGTAATATAAATGGAAGCTGAAAAGTGAGAATTGCCCACACTGTACACTGCTGCAGAATAACCATGGCAAGTGCAAACCACAATGATTCGCTTCCCAGAACTCATTAAACTCTCAGCTTTTCATAAGGTCAGAAGATCACAAGAAGGTTCAGATAGAGAAGGGGCTGTCCACCCATCTGACCTCATCCCTATTATCACCCCATTATCGCATCAAGCTGTTACATAAAAGAATCCAGTATCCTTCCCTCAACCTGGCAAACTGCTCCTGTTGTTAACTGCCTTTGATAATAATAATTCTTGCATTTGATATAGCATCTTGTCATGTCTTCACAGAATACACTGTAAAGTGAATTGACTGTATATATTTTGTGGGCGAAACCCACAGCCAATTGCTCACAGCTGTGTCCCACAAACATGGGGATTGAGTGATCACATTATTATTTTTGTTTTTGTTTTTTGAAGGGATTGTTACCTCTGAAAAAAATTCACCAATCGACTAACAGCCAGGTTCCTACTTAATGCTAGGTAAACAGAGGCCTGTGGAGTAAGGAAACTTGCCCAACGTTTCGCCCTGCCGGGATTCGAACCCAGGTCCTCTCGCTTCTGAGGTGAGTGCTCCAACCACTAAGCTACAGGACTCCATAAAGAACCTCCATGTACATACTTCAGAAACAGCCGTTTTATATTGATTATACCTCAATATCAATCACTGCCTTCCAGATTCTATGTCTGAAAACCAAGAGAGTCTTCTACTCCCAGCTTGGATGCTCAACCAACAGAGCTAAGCACTTTGGGACATCTTCCCAACATGAAAGGCACTAAATAAATATAATTGTGTTGTACTGCAGTTTTAAAGCCATTTTTTGACCAGCCAGAAGCAATTTCAAAGTTAATTTTACCTCCAAACGAGACATTGGGAGCTGGGAAGAAATAAGTAGGTAAGTCCTCAAGTTTGACATTTTAGGAAAATAAAGTACATCATTAAATTTTAAAAAACAGATACGGAAAGAAGAGGAAGTAAGAAAGAATAGTGAGGAAGAAAGGACAACAGGGATCAAGAGTTTGAATAGGGTAAATCAGAAGTCTTTACTCATTGAGGTTTTAATTATTGATTATGTTCTTTTTTAAGATAATATTTGTGCAGTTATTACAGGAGATGTTTTTCATTGGGTTCATGAAAGTTTTTGTCACCAAGTTGATATGTGTAAACATCTGTCTACATGGCAGCAGTTTGAACATCTCATATAGACCTACGCGTAAGGACTTTCATTCATCCTGTATATTTTTATTTCTAATCACAGTTTTATATCAAAGTTAATATTAGTTATTTGGGGTAATTATTACAGTAATAAAGCTATAACTGATTCTTTAGTGAATATATAAATACTGGTTTCGGTATCACAGTACATGAGGTCAAAGCTTACAAAATCCAGCAAGATAGAAATTTATTAAATGTTTTATTTTAACTGTGAGGCTGAATAGCTTTCAATGGATAAGTATCTAACATAAGTATTGAAGGTGAACATTTTAGTCTATTTATGGAACTACCAAGAATCAGAAAATCAGTTTGGATGCGATGTTTGTAAAGAGGATATAAAGCGTTTCCACTGGACATAGAAACAACCTTAATGAAACATTTTTTTTCATGTTACCATGAATGTCCTCCACAGTATGGGACCTGCCCCCTCATGGATTAGCCCATCACATTTTTGTTTCTTATAATAAGGAGATGGCTGCATCCCATATGACTTTGCTGAATTTAGGGGGGTCGGGACCTTTTGAGAAGCCTGGGAGCTCATCTGGAATGCTCCAATTCCTGGAATAATTCAGTGTCTGGTGAATTTTATTTCATATGTGGAACAAAAAATACTATGCTAGATTTCAATTAATTCAGTTTCCTGGTACGTCTTCTCCTACTGCCTGATGCTGAGTAAAATGCAATTTTGGTCTTCTCACTGCTGTTTTGTGGGATATTTTGTTTGCCGAGTTTGCCTGCAAAATACACAGTCACTACATTGAAATTGCTTTGAGACATCCTCCCGATGTAAAAAGTGTTATATCAAATACAAGGATTTTTATAAATGTAATTTTATGCATACTATCACATAGTCTTCCTTTAAATATTGGTAAAAAAAATATTTTTATGAAATCCTCTAAAAGGCTCTAGGATTTATATACTATATACAACAATATCAAGGTATGGACTATTAAATGTTGTTATAACAATTTCTTCAAAAGAGAAAACGGCTGCTTTTTCCAAATAGAAAAAGCGTTAAATGTTAGGCGATTTTCTAACAAGATGCTGTAGTTCAGACTTGGGTATTGAGGTCAAAACAAATACATCTTCATAAGAAAGTGTTCAGCCAATCTTTTCCTCTTCAGTAGATAGCATGCCTTGTGTTAGAATCTCACACAAAGGTGGGCAATGTTACGCTCCAACACAATGAATGTAACTTCATGCTATATTCCGTGCCTGATACGCTTGTTCCACGATCAAATGAAAAAGGTTTGCTGAACACTTGTTCATGCAAAAAATGGGCCCCGTTTTTAAAACAAATTATCGTAGACCTTCCCTTTATCCTGGTAGCAAAGAACCAAAAACTCTTTGTGTTGAATAACTCTGAATTGACACTGTCAACCCAGATACCGTAGCATACTGCTTAGTCCTGTCTCCAGGCTGTAGATGAAAACTAAACTGATGCTGTTGTTTTGTATCCCTTGTGTGACTATAAATAGATGCTCCTGTCAAAACAGGTACATTGATTTTAGCCTGCCAACAAAACTCACGTTGATTCTGTTGAAATTTTAATTTCCAGCAAATGTTTTTGGTTAAGAAAGGAACTTGTCAGCTTTTTCTGCATCATTTTTGTAAAAAAAAACTCTAAAATTGTCATTACATCTTTACCAATCCAATATTAAAACGAACTGCCCTTGTAAATAAAGATGGAGTCCCTTGACTCAGACATTTTTGCCCAAGAATTGAATCATAGAATTATGGAAATTTACAGCAAAGAAGGAAGCCATTCAGCCCATCAAGTTTGCATTGGCTCTCACAGCTATGTGTTCATTCAATCCCACTGCCCTGCCTTATTATCATTACCCTTTCAAGCCTCTTTCTTTCATATATCTGTCCACTTCCTTCTTGAAACCCTCTGTCTCTATCACTTTATATCACAGGGATTTCCACATACCAACAACTCTTTGAGTGAAAACATTTCCTCTAAGCTCTACTTTCATTCCTCTTGTGACTATTTTATAACTGTGGTCCTTAGTCATTGACTGCCATACCAGAGGAAATAGCTGTTTTCTATTTACCCAGTCAATCTCCTTCAGAATTCTGTAGATTTCTATCAGGTCCCTTCCCAAGCTTCTCTGCTCCAATGAAAACAGAGCCAACTTCTCCAGTCTTCCTCGTAACTGTAGCTCCTCAATCCTGGTATCATTCTTGTATATCTCCTCTGCACTCTCCCTAAGAACTTAATTGAGGTGCCCAAAGCTGAACACAGTACTCCAGTTGCGGTCTAACTAATGATTTGTACAAACTTAGCATAATTGTTTTGCTTTTGTACTCTGCAAAACGGAAACAGGAGGAGGCCATTTAGCCCATAGAGACTGTTCCACCAGCTTTGTCAGATTTTGCCAGATATTTTAATCCCAATACCTTGCCTTTTCACCATATTCCTTTAATGCCTCTCTACCCAAGCATCTATCTATAGGAACATAGGAAAACAGGCTAAATCATTTTGACTCTTTCCATCTTTTTGGAATGATAGTGCAGCCATAAAATTTCTGACAAAACAGAAACAAGCCAGCTGTCCCTCTTCATCATCACTATCAGAGTTTCTGCTCGTTCCACCATTTCCTTTGTCATACTTGTCTCTTGTTTTGAGCTTCAGTACATTAATTATTTTCTGGACATTTTTAATTTTTTTCTATTTATAAGCAAATGTTGCTTTTCCTTTGTGTTTGTTTTACTTGAAGTCATGCATTTCTTCAATTCATTGCCTGCTGTCTTTTCTCCACATGAAACCATGAGATTTTTTTTCTCATGATTGCTTCTAGCTGTTTTTGTAATCTGACCCTCAGCTGTACTCATTCCACTTTGTTCATCTGTCTTCACGGTTCTGAATATGTAACCTTCTGAGTTCAATCCTTCAAATTGCTAGATCCAGCAAATTGAAATGATAACCAAATACAAAATAGGCATCCTCCTATGTCACCTCTATCCTGATTTAAAGTTTTGCATAATAAAGTACTCAGGATCAAAGTGCTTTGTTATGTCTCTATTGGTTTTTGGAACGTTGCAAGATTCACAAACCAAGATTTTAATTAAGTAGTTTGTAGACTTAAGAAACACACATACATTTCCATTATCAGCTTTTGCATTTTCAGTCTGAAAATCTAACTTACTTCACAAGAAAATCAGTTACAATTTAGACTAAACTCTGAGTTGAAGCAGAGAGAAAAAGATGCAAAGAATACTAATATGTTACAAAGATCAATCTTTAATAGACTATTTTAAACTCAAGACAAAAAGATTTCCAACAGTTTCACTTGGCTGTAGCACTTTAATTTATAGGTATTGGTAATTGGTCTAAACCTGTTGTCTTGAGAATGTACAAAAAGTAATGGTTTCTCTTCCAGCTCCCGCACAGTCTTGTGCGGTGTTCCTCAGGGCTCTGTCCTCAGTCCCCTCTTCTTTAACCTCTACATGCTCCCCCTTGATAACATCATCCGCAGACATGGGGTCAACTTCCACATGTATGTGGATGACACCCAAATCTTTCTCACTGCCTCCACCCTCAATTCCAGGACAACTGACCGATTGTCTGACAGACATCAAGTCCCGGATGAGAGCCAACTTTCTACAGCTGAATATCAGCAAGACTGAGGCCCTCCTGATTGGCTCACACCAGCGCCTCAGCATCTCAGGCACTGGCAGCATCAGCATCCATGGATGCACACTCCATCTCACCAAGCCAGCCAGGTACCAGGGCATCTTGTTCGACCCTCAACTGATCTTTCTCCCCCACATTCTGTCTCACATCTCAGGCCACCCTCATATACGCATTCGTTACCTCAAGGCTCGACTATGGAAACTCCCTCTTTGTTGGCCTCCCCATCGCTTCCCTCCACAAGCTGTAGATCATCCAGAACTCTGCAGCTCGTGTCTTCTCCAACACCAGGCTCCATGACCCCATCACCCCCACCCTCGCCCGACTCCACTGGCTCCCCATCCCTCAGAGGATAGAATTTAAAATCCTCATCCTCACTTTCAAGGCCTTCCATGGCCCCGCCCTGCCCTACATCGCTGACCTGCTAAATCCCTATCAACCTGTCCACTCTCTCCATTCAGCAGGCTCTGGCCTGCTCCATATCTCCCGCCCGACCCGACCTACCATCGGTGGCCTGGCTTTCAGCCTCTCTGTCCCCACCCTTTGGAACTCCATCCCATAATCCCTTCATCTTGCTCCTTCTCTTGCCTCCTTCAAGGCACGGCTCAAGATCCTCCTTTTTGACCGTACCTTCAGCCACCCTTCTACCCACTTTGCCCTCCCTCATCCCAACCCTGCCCCCAGCTCATGTCCTGATCCCTGACTGTTCAGCGCCTTGGGACATCCTCCCAATGTGAAAGGCGC